TCTTGGCCGATTCCGATTTCCGATTTTTTGTTAGTGTGATCTGCCGATACCGATTTTTGCCAATTCCGATTTTCTTTCCAAGAACTATAATTGACAGCATATACAAACAAAAATCTACTATGTTTAAAAAAAAAAACGCAAGTAGAAAGTCTGTAATAAAATAAGAACAAATAAAAAAAAATTGCAAACAACAGCACAAATAAATGCAATAGAATAAAGAGAGCTATGAAGTTTTTCAGGTTAAGTAAGTTTTTTAAATTAGAGATGCACCGATTGCAATTTTCTTGGCCGATTCCGATTTCCGATTTTTTGTTAGTGTGATCTGCCGATACCGATTTTTGCCAATTCCGATTTTCTTTCCAAGAACTATAATTGACAGCATATACAAACAAAAATCTACTATGTTTAAAAAAAAAAACGCAAGTAGAAAGTCTGTAATAAAATAAGAACAAATAAAAAAAATTGCAAACAACAGCACAAATAAATGCAATAGAATAAAGAGAGCTATGAAGTTTTTCAGGTTAAGTAAGTTTTTATTCAGGTAAGAAATACTACAGAAATTAAAGTAATCAAATGTAAAATAACACATCCAGTGTTATTTTACATTTGATTACTTTAATTTATGTAGTCTTCATTGTAACAATTAAATACAGATTAATGCTTACCATTAAAGTTATAAAACGTATTCAGTTAAGAGCAGAAAGTGATTTTCTTTGTCTTTTGTCTTTCTGTCTTTCTTTTAACATGACAGACAGCAGCAGGAATATTGGACTGCGGTCCCTTGAAGAGTTTATCCACGGACCCGATATACTGTTACACAACATGCGTTCTCTTTCTTTTTTCCAAAACTGACTGTGTTTAACTGGATGGATACTCACCAAGATGGGCATTTTGACAATTTTTTTATGTTTTAGCCATTCATTTTGGTATTTATGGCTCACAAGCAGTTTGAGACTGAGTGCGGCTTGTGCGCTCCACTAATATAGATCAGTGGTGGTGCGCGCTCTTTTTTTAGTGTAAGCGCGAAACCTGCGGGAATGACTAAAATAATGCACAATACAAGCACTATTTAACCGGAGCGAATGAGACGTGTGTGAGAGAGAAGGGGTCGTCGGAGAGAAGAGAGCGAGAATGCACGGCTGACGTTATTGCCTGTGCCGCTGGTAACAAAATGGATCAGCTCGGAATCGGAAAGAAGTGAGACTGACCGGCCGGTCACCGATCCGGGCCGATCATGAGGAAAATCGTCTGATTCCGATCCCTGGCCGATCAATCAGTGCATTTCTAGTTTAAATGTTTGGGGTTAGTACGATTTTTTTATGTTTTTACAATAAGTCTCTTATGCTCACCAAGGTTGAAATATTATTACAATTTAAAATAACTTTTTCTAGTTTAATATATTATATATATTTTTAAAAATTACTCCTGTGATGGCAAAGCTGAATTTTCAGTAACCATTACTCCAGACTTCAGTTTCTAATACGCTGATTTGGTGCTCAAGAAAAAAACAGCATTTATTGGAAACATAGAATTTTTGTAAAATTATAAATGTCTTTATTGTCACCTTTAATCAATTTAATGCATTCTTGATGAATAAAAGTAATAATTTCTTTACTGACCCAACCAATGGTAGTATACTATGTTATACATATTAATATATGCATATACTGCATGTACATATGCAATATAAATACTTCATGTAAATTTAATCTGTACATACCACTGCTTGTGAGGATGTAGGGCTGGGTGGGATGAACAGCGATGCAGCGAATGTAATCTGAATGGGCCTCAAACATATGTACTCTCTCTAGTGTATTATAGTTGAAAACCCGAATTTGCATGTCATCCTACAAAAAAGGGAGGAAATTTATCAAAAGTTCATTATTTATCTATTACACATGTGACAGTATTGATAACTATTATATAGCAGTGCAGTGTTTCCCATTCATTAACTAGAGTGTGGCGGCCCGCCACAGTCTAATCTGTCCCGACACAGTTTCACAATAAACCAAAGATATATTTATACTTCTCATTATAACATAAAAGTTCTTTAACGTTGTGTTTCACACCATTGTTTTGGTTAAGTATTCGACGAACAAATTAAAACCGAAAGCATAATATGACTTATCAAGTCTGTTTGCGCTGCTTTTTTCAAAGTGAAGCGCACACTTTGCGCCCTACAAGGATCGAGGACCACCCACCTCAGTCTCACAAAATCCTGTGGGAAACACTGCAGTGCATATAATTATTATTCACATATATACTTACAGCACCAGTTATGACCCAATTTTTCCTGGCAACAAATTTGGCAGCTCTTACTGGAAGGTCACAGACTTCAAAAGTCTTAACCAGAGTCTATGAAAGAGCAATATTAGACACTATTAGACAAACATGCAACACACACTGCTGTATCCTTAATGTTAAATGTGACGATCAGATGGTAATATATTGCAAACGCTGAAAAACATAAGGTCTGCTAGTCACCTGCGTTTCATGGTTCCACACACAGACACTGCCGTTGTACAGACTGGCCAGCATCCATGGCTCGGACGGATGAAGGTCTACGCTTTTGACACGGTCAGATCGAGCCGTGAGTTTGCGCTTGATATCCAGCCTCAGAGGCTAGAAGACAAGACAAGACAATTACAAGTTGATTAATCAGCATCTCTTTGGTTAGCAGCACCAAGTATACAGTAGTAACACCAACAGTCTATACAAAAAGCACAAATGTTCACTGTTTCAAGAACAGAAAACAGTGACATTTTGTTATTTAACCTTGACTGTTTTTTCCCCACAACACATTTGCTATTTGTCACCTAAGTCTGATAAAATAACAGCAGTTAACCTTTACAGTACAGTTAATAAGCAATAAAATCACTACAAATCAAACCTCTTCCAGATAATTGCCATGTTACTGAACAGAATATATACAGCAGCACATTTCATAATTTCTGTTTATTTCTTAATGTGTACTTAAACTTAATGTTAAAGTCACATTCATATCATCAGCTGTTAGCCAGGACACAAGATATCACTTCATAACAACATATAAGTGAACAGTTAATTTATAATATATGTAATGGTAAATGGCTTTAAATGAAAGTATAATCTAGAATGAGAGTGAAAATGAATAAATAATTCACAGACTGACTGAATGATAGTGTTGTCTATGTGGCCATTCTAAAGGCCTTCGAGGCTAACAGCGCGAGCTAACTTTACTCGAAGCGTATTTTTACACAAAATCTGCGAACCAGCTGTAATATTGCCCATAATATAGATCCTGACGCCACACTTACCATGTTTGTGTTTGCTGGTTTTGGTCTCCTTCACCTGTAGTATTTTATATCATCCACCAAGAGCCTGATGTGTTTTTTCGCCTGCAGTTTTGTGCACGGCAGGCAAATGTGACGTGGAACTTCCTCAAAGCCAGTACGCTTGACGTCGGAAGCGTTGACGTGACACTCGGACGACTTCGGAATGTTTCGGGGAATTTCGGTTAAACTCGGCTTTTGAGGGATGCTGCATGGCGATAGGCGCTTGCGGCGAGTTTGAGCTTACCCTTTCCTGTAAAGCCAAAAATGGTACCACCTTCAGTGTACTTATGATGAATAACACGCCAAAAATACAGTGTTGAAATGTGCCTGAAAAGTCTCACCGCAGTATGATCTTAAAAGGTTAATAGATAAATGTTTAAGACATTAAGATATGATCAATATTAAGGCTAGTCGTCATACAAGGAACCTGTTACAATGGCCTTGAGTCAAAAGTACAATTACACAATTGCTCGTTTTCTACAGTGTATCTAAATGTGTATCTTCTACCATCTAATTATTATAATTATAAATATATAAATTATATCAATTAATTATATAAATTATAATTATAAATATAAAATAGTAGTTAGATAATTTTTATAGCCTAATGAAATCAATGAATTAACAAATATAGTTTGCTTTAGATATGTGTCTCTTCATGTTTGACCGTTATAGTATTGATTGGATATTTAATAGCCCTCCAATGTATGTAAAATGATTTTTAGTTCATTATGGGGAAATGAATTACGTTTATAGCTCTATATTGTTGTGTTAAATCATGCATATCATCAATTAATATGTATTTGTATAAAAAAATGTCTGTGTGGTTTTATGATTGTGTGAGCAAGGGAGAGAGAAAACAACAAATAAAAAATTTAACTAAGTTACGTTCACAAGAAATTATGAGCCATAACATCTCATTGTCTTTATTTAGACAGGTTAATACATAGATTAGTAGTAGACTTGATAGTAGAACAACATGAACTGAATCACATGACAAATCAGTCTTTTCTTTTGTACACTTGCTGGCACACAGCGTCCTCACATGTGAGCTCCTGAAATTGAAATGATCATGAGGTCAAAACATATCCGTTATGAGTACAAAGCAAAGCAGGAATTGTGCGGGAATATTCCCTATTCATGTGTGAAAAAAAAATGTAATTAGCTGAAATACTTTTATCATTTAAACTCCTTAATTAGAAATTTCATAAAAACTTAAATCAATAAAAATATTTTTAAGCAATAATGCTGATTCTAACATTAATCGGGTTATTATTATCCAATGACTGAATGCTCACCAGATAAAGTTTGTCATCTTCTATCCAGTGTTTCCATCCATTTACATGATTTTAATCAAAACAAACTAATTTTACCATTTCTTTTTATATGTTTACTATTTATTTAATAAATAGTTTTTTTAATCATTATATAGCCTACTGATCATTATATAAAAAGAAACATTTTCATTGAGGAGATTTTACTCTATCACTGACAGATAGCACTGTTTATATAAAATAAATTCAGATGGCCTCAAAAAAAAAAGAAAAAAAAAGGAAGACCTTCAATGCATTTTGTCCCTCTGGACAAAAGTTGAAGCCTGTGCTCTATTTGTTTTACTGTTCATTACTGAACAAACTTACTGAGATCATGGCCAACAGGCCAAACAGGTTAAATAACATTATGTCATTAGAGGAGGATCACAAATATTAAATATAAATAGTTCACCTTTAGCATCCTTTTGTCAAATCCCTTAGTCAATTCTTCCTTTTCAACTCCAATAGTGAAGCTCAGCTCATAGCTCTTGAAGGCGCTCTGTGTCTTAATCACAAGGTTGTCCCCATCCTGGATAAAGGTCTTTGTTGGAGTGAGGTGGACTGCAATCTTGCAGATGGCAAAGTCAATGTCTTTGAGAGTAAATATTTTTAACTTGGCATGGTCATTTCCATGATATAAACTATATCATATTTTTCAATTATGTCAAATATTATAATAAAACTGCATAATCAGAATTAGAAAATGGCACAGATTTATCTTGTTTCTACTCTGTTGACCTGTGGTGACAGACAACTGATCAGGCTTACCCAGTGCTTTAAGGTAATTTTCAAGGTTTTCGCTCGACTCCAGCTCCCATTTTCCAGTGAAATCCACAGGCATGGTTGTGCTATGAGCTCTGGACTTCAGGAGCTTTGCCAGGTCAAGTGAGGAGGTGCACCAAAGCTTTTATACTCAACTGTTCATTCACAATGAGGGGAGAGGCCAGAGTGATGATAAGAGAGATCTATGACCTAATGGGAGAGAACACTCTTAAAAATGCTGGGTTGTTTTTTCAACCCAAATGCTGGGTTGAGCCTGCTGGGTAAGGACGTTGGGTTGATTTAACCCAAATTGGAGTGGGGGAACTATGACGTCACTTTGTATGCGGATCGGCTGTTAGCATCGCACTGGTTCCCTCGACAAAAAGCCAATAGGATTTTTCCATAGGCTTTTGGATTATCGCAAAATATAAACTCTGTTCAATCATAGTTCATGAAACTTACACGTTTTGTCCATTAAGATAATCTTCACAAAATAATATATATTTATTATATTATATATATTATATATATTTTAAAGCCAAAATAAAAGCGCCAGAATTTAAAAGCTAAACTTGGGCTATAAACGAACTACAGCACCACGGTCGCTCGCCTTCAACGTCACCACCACCATGCTCCCGACAACTTTTCAAACGTATTTTTAACACGTTCAGTGAAAAGGATTTAGTCTGTATATTAATTTTAATCCACGCTACACGAACCTTTTCATATAAACTGGAATAAATACAAAACTAGAGCCAAACTAAAACTGAAATGAGACATTAGTAATAAATAGTAGCCTAGGCTATAATGAATAAATGAAATAATCATAACTAAACGACATATGAACGTATTTCTGTACATTTCGAAATAAGGCGCATTAAAAGTGAATAAATCTTTGATTAATATGAATATTTTAATTAAAAACGTGTCTCCACGTACTATTCAATACAATTCTAGTGCATTTAATCTATTAAATAACAGCAGAGTGAGCGAGTTTTTGAATATGGTAGGCTAACATTAAACATATTTTAGTGAATAGGCTAAAGTACCACAATGCAGCTATCGTTAGGATGGATACACAAAATGTTATTTTATCCTTGCTTCTAGAAAATCATCAAACTATATGTTTTCTAACAGCTACTTGTGGCCGTAAACATTTAATTTTAACGTGGCTTTAAGCACTATGCATCGTTTAATAATTATCGAAAACTGTGACCAGGTATCGCTGTTCAGCGTTAGATCAGACGCTGAAGCCGAATGATCAGGACATCGGGACTCAATTTCTTTAAAAAATAAAAAGACATGAATGAACATGCATAGGCAAAAACAATAGATTTTTTTTTAAATCACCAATACATTTTTAGTTTTGAACCACTTTGTATAAAGATAATTCTCAACTATGTTACAACAGAATGATTTGATATACCATTTTTTCTTCATGCAAAATGTGTGTAAAATGGCCATAAACAGGTTTTCTCATTATATATAATGTATCTATTAACTAAAGCTAATTTGCATATTAATGTGTTTTTGGGGCAACATGTAATGAAAAAAGAAGTGTAATAATGGGAGTAATAATTGACAAGATTTTCATAGTAATATATAATATTTCATAGGGATATTGAAATACATTTTCTTTCCCTATTAATTTGTTGTGTCTCCCAAAATGCGTAAAAAACATGCTTTTAGTCCCGGTGTCCTCACATGAGGACATGTATGAAATCAACGTCCTGTTTCGTAACAGAAAGTCATATTTTGATTCGAAACCCCATAACATTTTCCTGAGACGTTGATTTATGACACACAGTTTAAAAATTAGTCCGATTTAAATGATAATTACAAAATATTATCATATTTCCATAAGAGTGTCACTAAATTAAAATCAGACATTTTTGAAGACCAAGGAGAGGGAGTGGTCATGGTGAAACATCCAAACATTTAGTATCTCTGAAAAGTCCTGAATGTGTTCTGTACAGGACATCCGGACTTAAAACTGTGGCATGTATAGTCTCAGAGAAATTCACTAAAATAAAATGTCCTCATATGAGGATGCAGGGTCTCAGGAGGTTAAAACTTTCCATTCATCAAAGAATCCTGAAATAATATGTATCACAGTTTTCACAAAAATATTAATCACATTAAATATTAAAATGTTGATAATAATAAGAAATGTTTCTTGAGCACCAGATCAACAAAATTATTTTTGAAGGATCATGTGACACTGAAGAGTAGTGGCTGCTGAAAATTCAGCTTTGTCGTCACAAGAATAAATTACATTTGTAAACAATTAGTTGTTTTAAATTGTAGTATTACTTTACAATATTATTACTTAGTTTGGTGTATTTTAAATCAAATAAATGCAGCCTTGATGAGCGTAAGAGACTTTCAAAACCCCCCAAATTTGGAATTTGGAATGGTATAGTGTAGATACAACAAGACAGGTTTGGTTGGCAAAGGTGCTCTCTTGTTTGTGGAAGATGAAATAGGCCATGATCTGAAAAGTAAACATCTCAACTATAGCTCATCATGACAGTTCTGTACCTTTTATTCTAGATTTCACTGTTAACACTTCAGAGCTATTTATAGTCAGGAAGACATCTCAAGACTGGCCTCATTACTGACAGGTCTTCACCTCCTGTTTGTGCAGTGAACAATTCTCTCTCTCTCTCTGGTGTCTGTAGGCATAAATGGAAACCTGTTTGACAGCATTGTGATTGTTGCCTTGACTGACTGTTGTGCTGCTGACCGGCTGAGAATCAAAACAATTACAAACTGGCATGTCTGTCTGTTCATATGTGTTGACTGACATGAGCTCATGAGATGCATCATGTATTGCAATTCACTCCCGACGACAGAGCTCCTGTATATATATATATATATATATATAAAATGTCCACAGCAGACATTGCACTCTTTGAGATAATCCAAAGGTCCTAATTGGCTTTAGGATTACGTGTCCTGTGATTTGAGACGCCACACCGCACTTTGATGTTGAAGCTTTGAAACATCAGAGCAGAGGACAAACACAAAAAAAGAAGCAAATATGTCTTCCGTAGACATGAATGGATTCTGGAAAATGACAAGTAATGAAAACTTTGATGAATACATGGAAGCACTAGGTAGGCTGATACTTCATATTCTATTTATTTATTCATTATACTCCTGTGAAGTTAATGTTCTATGCTGAACAAGGTATGTGAGATGTTACAGAATATATTCTGTTCGAAACAGTCAAAGCAAGAGAAATACATGTCTGTATTTTGAACTCAAGAGATACGTTTTAGTACTCTTGGCAGACCTGATTCTATTATAAAAAAAATTAAAAAAAATATTGGCTCATGTATACAGCTATGGTTGACATGTGTTCGTGTATTCAACTTACAGATGTGAATGTTGTCATCAGAAAAATTGCCAGCTATCTCATCTTTGATAAGGAGATTGTTCAGAATGGTGATCATTTTAATATCAAGACTCTCACCGCCTTTAGGAACTACCATATGGAGTTTGATGTTGGAAAGGAGTTTGAGGAGGATTTGGTTGGTGTAGATGATAGGAAATGTATGGTAAGTGACCTCCTTATTTATAAAAGTACGACTTAAAGTGCAACTGGACAATAATGTAAGATCAGAAATGCTTTTATATGGAAAACTATTCTGAACTGCTTTTCCTACACTGCCAGAAAAAATGTGCAAAATTTGTACCTTCAGGGGTACAATGGCTTGTCACTGGGGCAGTACCCTCAAGGGTACACCCGTTGTACCCTTTCACATGGGTACATATCTGTACCCTTGCAGTATGTACCTTCCAAAGGCAAATATGTACCTCTGCTGACTAAATTGTACCTTATAGTGCTATGGTACCATAATGTACCTTTAAAAAAGGTGCAAATTCGTCCTTTTAAGGGTACTGCCCCAGTGACAAGCCTTTTGTACCCTTTGATGTTTAAAAAAGGTGCAAATTCGTACTTTTAAGTGTACTGCCCCAGTGACAAGCCTTTTGTACCCTTTGATGGCAAATTTGTACTCCATACAGCACATTAAAAAGGCCAGAATGCTGTTTATCACATTTATTAAACATTCAAAACCATTAAATTATCACATTTTTCACAGGATGAATGTTATAAGCTCTATCACAATATCATAACAATATATATATTGCGCAATTTTACTTTTGAAAAGGAGAAAAAAAAAGTTAACTTTTTATACTCAAAATTGTAAACAGCAAGAATCAAAAAGCTATTTTTTTCCAACAGTACACATTTCATTAATTGTAACTATTACTTTTTAAAACGATTTGTATTTCTATAATTGTAAACTGCAAGATTAAGCTTAATATTATATTAAACATTTCTTCAAAATCAGTACATCCCATTTCATTAACTTTTTTTTTTTTTTTTTACCATGTAATAAAATATTAGAATAAAGTAATTTCACTTTTTTTTTAAAACAGCACTAGATCTCATTTTAAGTATTTTTCTACTACATTCTACATTTTCTAAAACCGTTTTGAACATCAAAAATCACAAAGCAATCTTTTACCAACAGTACACATTTAATTAATTGTAACTTTATACCCTTAAAACATTTAATCACAAACACACATTTCACCAAATACAGTACTACACATTTAATTTATTTGTACTTTTTTTACCCCTAAAGGGTACATATGAGTACCCTAAGGTGTAACTATGACCCATTAAGGGTACAACTTCACCATTTGTACCCTAAGTGTTCACAAACGGACCCCAACCGTACCCTTTTTTCTGACAGTGTAGGTTACTGTGGTGGATGAGTCAGTAAATCGGATTAGATTGAGATTTACATTCAATGACCTGTTGTGATCTTAAATCCACGAGGGTTTCGGGTTAATGCCACAAACACCTGGTGCTCGGGAACTTTAGGTCAACTTGTATATACTGTATAACATTATTTTCGAAGTTGGTAAAGATAAATGGAGTATGTTTTACAAGAAAATAATATTTTAGTCTTTCTACTTCAAAATGTTGTTTAATTCATTATGTTTCTTGCCATTTCTTTGTGTTTGTGACATTTATTGGTGTTAAATGTTGTCCAAAAATTGTTGTACTTTTTTTTTAATGCTGAAGTATAAGCTATTTCCTGTGAATGTGCGAGACGTCTGATGTCATTAGACGTCATTAGCTAGTATAGGTAAATAACAAGAATGTGCAGCAAACAGTAAAATTTGGGCTACAAAGCATAATAAATTTAAATAATACTAATATTGTACAGCTAAAATAACT